CTCCTCTGTGTCTTCTGTCACCAACCAGCCTGCATGCAGTGCGTCTGTGATGGGCAGCCTCAAAAAGACTGGAAGAGACCTGAGTCCCCTACTGTTCAAAAGAGGAGAGCCAAGGAGTTGGTGGAGCCAACTAAGGATTTGGATCCAGGATACTTTTGTTTCTTCATGGTGAGCTAGAAGTCTGGCACGGTGTGATTCTGGTATGCAGGGTTCCACCTCCTGGTCCTAATGCACAGCTGGGGCATTACAAACAAAGCAAAGCCCCCTGCTGCTATGTATGGAGGAATTCCTGTCTCAGTCCTGTAACCCAAATCTGGTCAAGAGACATAGCAGGGACAGCAAAATCAGGAGAGTGTCCACAAACAATTGACCCACATTCTTCCAAACTGTCACCCTGGATGAGCACCCTGGCAGCAGGATCAACACAGGCCTCTGTTGAGACATCTGATGCTCGCCTCCTTCCTGGGAAGACCCCAAGACTCACCGTTTTAACTCGAGTCCTAGATGGCAAAGGAGAACAGGAGCAGACATTGTAGATGTCTACACCTCATGGGAGAAGCTCTGCTCTCCACTGTTGGGGGATTGGGAGATGACTGTGTGGCCAGCTCACCCACACCTGCCTCATGGACTTAGTCATGAAGGACAAGGCATTAGGTCCAGGCTACCACACACACATGCTTCAACACTGACTAATTGCCACACGCAGTAGAGCTTGTCCAGAGCAAGTGCATGGGTACGGCAGGGAGGGCATAAGCTGTGCCCATCTAAAACAAATGCCAGGTTGTCCTTTGGGCCCAGTCTCCCCTCGTTTCAAACCCTTGCCTACTTCTCTGGAGGTCTGTGACCCTGGGTCTTGTTTTCCTCTTCAGCACCATAACAGGGAAGGTTCTGTGGTCTCTTCTTAGTTTGCATGACTACATTAATAACATATAATAGACTACAAAGATGTATGTGCGTTGAATGACAGTTGTTGGTTTGTGATGTCTCCTGTAATCTAATATTGTTTGTAAAGTAATGAGGATGACTTCTGGGTACGTCTGGGCATTTCATTCATTAATCACACTAGAAATAAGACCACATTAAAGAGCCTTTCTTTCTAGCCAGTTCTGATCAAGTTCTATGCCCTCGGAGAAGAATGCGTATCGTATCTCTTTCACTCTGTGAAGGAGAGGCTGTAGAGTGGGCATTTCTGCATCCAGGCACCAGATTCTGATGGTGTCCCCTCCAAGTTCTTCACACATCTGGAAAGCATAATGTCATATTCTGTGTAACTGAGACTACCTTTTTTTTATTGTTACATGAAGCAGGCAGATCGATGGCTTTAAACTAATTTTAGGCAATAGATCTGTTTGAAAATTAAGTAACATCAATGGCTCCTCTTTTCCTAAAGTGCCCATACCACACCTGGAAGGTACTGTGTACAATGTAAGAGGCTCCTTGGAACATCTAGAAATCCCTAGACTCCAGATTGCGGATTCTTGCTGTCTAGTTAAAGACACACTGATGCGGATGGAGGACAGTAAGTATTTGCTCCAAGGCAGTTTGCTCTAGAGCCCAAGATGACATGAGGAAGCTAATTGTCCTGCACCACCCAAACAGAACTTCTGGAGTCACCCTTGTCATCACGATGCAGAAGGCTCCTCCTGAGTCCCTCAGTCATTCTGGGGCACCTGCCATCATCAGCTTCCTTACAGTTTAGGAGGTCTGGTCCAATTTCTTAAGGACATGAATGCAGAGACCTGGCCCAGTCTCTGCTAAGGATAACCACCTGTCATGTTGCTTTCCGAGCAGAGCTGCATGGGCGATGGCTGCAGATTTGCTCTGTGTTCTGTCCTCCACCACTTCAGAATTTCCAGAGAGCTGTCAGAACTGGGGGTGGAGGGGTTGGCACTCACTGATGCTTTTGAGTTTTCTCTGTCCTCTGAGTTGCAGTTCTTTTGTTGCTGGCCATTGCCAGCACCGTATGGCTCTCTGTTGTTTTGATTCATACCTCCTCTCGGCTCCCCGCACAATGTGGGACTGTTTGCAAGGTTCCTTTCCATCAGTTCGCCCAGCAGCATATGACATCTTGGGGATTTGCATTTTTTAATTTAATCATTAGCTTAGTGTTTGGGGGACATTAGTCATAGGAAGTTAGTCTCATTCATCCAGATGCGTTTGTGAAAGCTACAGCTCTTCTCTCTATACCATAATACCCCCCTTGAGCACGCCTTTTCCCATTTCCTTAAAAAAAAAACACACTCTGTTCTGGAACTCAAAAATGAAGACATCAAAGTTGGGAGGAATTATTAATAAAGAAACTACATTTGAGACTTCCAGAGGAGTGGAACCTGGCTAGAGACATGAAGAACTGGCCAGGAAATGGTTTAAACTTGATCTTTAAGAGCCTTAAAAAATGGAGAGCCCTTCTCTTGTGTACAGGTCCCTGGGGAGACCAGAGTTCAGTGCTTGATTTTATTTCAACATGAATGAGTGAGGAGAGTGTGCGCCCTTGGTTTCTGGCACCCCTTTTGGAAACTGGGCTAGTTCCTGTGTTCTTGGGCTTTGTAAGCTGCTGGACAGATGGTGCTGCAGGGGAAAGTTGGACTTGAACTTGAGGTAGAAGAAAGGAAGATTATTTCAAATAAGCAAAGGCCATGTGTAAAAATGTGATGGTGTTATAGGAATTGTTAGGGCTCTGGGCCACAGTCCTACACAGGTCAATTAAATTTTGTTTTTCTCTTTCACTTTTCACAGGTAAGAGTGAAGAGAAAAGAGATTTAATAAACATGGCCACATGAGGAGAAGGAACAAATAAAGAGGTTCAGTGAGACCCAGGTTCATCTTTGCTGAGGACATAGCTAAGCCTTCCTGGTCAAAATGTTACTGTACCCACTACTGACCCATCATTGTTTGGGCTCCAGTCTCTTCTACAAGGTGGTCTGGCAAGTTGTCAGAACTGTATGACATCTTTTCCTATGGCCAGCATCATGGGCACGGCCTTTTCCTTACTCAGGATTGCTCTCCTGGGGGAATGCTCAATTCCCTGGGGTCCACACTGATTGTCTTAGAGTCATGGGGATGGGCACAGTGTTTAGAATATCTTTTCTCCTGCGAGGATAAGTTTAGAGCATGCATAAGTGGATATGCTGGACATAATCGGGTGTTTAGAGCTTTTGAGCCTGGATGGGGAAGAATGGGCCTAGGGAGAAGGCCTGCTTGCCATATTAGGCTGTATTCTGTGGGTTATCTAGAGCCACTGAAAGCCTGTGCCTTCGGGCTTTCAGGATTATCATAGCCTTAGAATTGTGGATTAGAAAGTGGTTATCAAGACAATGTGCTCATGAGAGTCCCTTCTGGGTATTTTTCATAAGCAAAGGCCAATGATTTTAATAATAATAATAAAATATTGTTAGGGCTGGATAGATGGCTCAAAGTTTAAGTGAACTTGCTGCTCTTGCAGAGGAATAGACTGTAGTTCCGTAGTTCCAAGGGACCTGACACCATCTTCTGATCATATGAACACACACACACACACACACACACACACACACACACACACACACACACAATCATTTTTAAAAAAGAAATTATCACGGCTAGAGCATTGCCAATATTTGTTTGTATGATAAAAGATCACTTTCCCATCTTCAACTTGAGCTCCTGGACTCTACTCATCCCAAGAACAAAGCCTTCTCAGCATTCCCTTCAGAGTCTGTGCTCTGGTGTCTGAAGATAACACCCTGCCTGTGATATCAATCCACTCAAGTGTCCTCAGCATCCTCAGGAGAACCTATTAGGGCTGAAGAGATGCCTGAGTCATTACAAGCCGGTAGTCCTCTTTCACAGGACCTGAATTTGATTCCCAGCACTCACATGGGACAGCTCACTACTGCCTGTAACTCTAGCTCCAGGGAACCCGATGCTCTCTTGTGGACTCTTCAGGCACCTGCACTGATGTGTGCATATTCTCCATTCCTACACATGAATATACGTATCATTAGAAGTAAAAATTAATATAATTAGTCCTTTTGCATCCTGCATGCCTTCCTGGGTGACATCCTTATGGCCCAATTGTTCTTCCAGTTCTCCTCTCTCTGCAGGTGTTATTCTTTTTAAGAATATTTAGTATTTTTATTTTGTTTGTGTGACAGGTGAGGGACTTCTGTGTGTGTGAAGGTCAGAGTGTGGGGATCACAGACCCTGGCCGGAAACCCACCCCTCCATCAGCCTGGGAGTAGGCAGCTGCGAGATAATGTTTACTGAAAACAATTCAGTGCTATAAAGCTCTTGATAGGGCTCAGATAAGGGCTTGCTCACTGAAACACCATGACTTTGACACCCCCTACGGCTAGATGCTTCTTCCTGCTCCCTGCAGTTTCTCCCCATTCTGGGGCGGGAGATTAAACCACAACCAGGAAGGTGAGAAGTCTGGGAGAGCTGTGAGAGGTGTGTGAGAGCGTTGGAGAATTGTATGTAGATGGATGGCAGAAGTCCTTAAAAAGGGAAGCATTTTTTTCTTGGGGAGCTCTCCTAAGCCGACTTGGGGAGCATAAAGTTTTCTTAAAGCAACCGACCGGTCTCTGTGTCATCTCTCCCGAACACCTCACTACATTCTCGGATGCAGGCTGTGCAGGCAGGTGCGACATCAGAGAACAACTTTGTACAGTCAGTTCTCTCTTTCCACCTGACACAAGTCAGGGGATCCAATTCAAGTCACAAAGCTTATAGAACAAACACCTCTCTCTACTCACTGAGTCAGCTCCTAAGTCCTCTACTTGTGTTATTTTTGATGTAATTACTTCCTATCACCCACATTCTCTAGCTGAACAAAATATTCTTTCCTTACTCAGGGCACAGAAAGCTTAACCTTTGCTCAGAGGACACCTGTCCATGATCCACACGAAACTCTTCAAGCCTCATATTGCCTTGTGTCTGCCACTCCTTTCCTTCATTCTTGTCGCTGCTTATATCTCACACACCTATCTTAATATATGCAAAATTCATAAAAACATACTCACCTCCTTTCTCTTCACTTGCCAGTGAGTTGTATCTTAGAGGAGTGTAGCAACCTACTGTCTTCATACCTGTTGTTACAAAGGTGAGGGACAAGGGTGGGGGAGAGAGCATTATCATATGATCAAATAGTATCACCATCAAACTTTTATCATGCCATAGCCTATAACATACAATGGAAAGTTTTCCCCCTCCAACTTTAACATAATATTATTGATTTTAAACCAAACTACACAATGAAATCATTCAAACTTGAAAGGATCTGAGAATCATCATTCTTGCCTCATTTGGCAAACTCCTAGCTCCCTTTCTAACCAGCCACCTAAGTGCTTACTGTATTCATTTCCAGAGACAACAATATGAAAACAAACATGCATATATCGTGTTCCCTGGTCTCTTTACTGTTACATATGTGGTATCAATTTGCTTTTAGTTTTTACTTAATTATACTTGTATCATAGATGAACCCATTCTAGTACGTTGAATATTGCCACTCTTTTCAATATAGTTCCATTACACTAGTTGTACATGAATTTATTTAGCCAGTCCACTAATTGTGGTATGTTTCAGTGTCTTATTATTATTAATTGTGCAATAATGATTAGGTTTATAGCTATGCCATTGTGCATATGTGTTGTTATATTTGTAAGGTAAATTTACAAACGTCAAATTGGGCATCATTTGCTGTTGAATAGATGTTGTTGGATCTCTCTCTACAGAGTTCGCACCAATTTACACCCCCTCCAGCAGTGTGCAAGAATGCCTGCATCTTCAGGCTTGCATTCCCAGCATGCTCTTCACCTCTTTCCTCTCTGCCCATGGAATAGATGGGGTAAGCTTTCTCATTGTGGTTGAAATCTGCATTTCCCCAGAGGGAACTGAAGCCAATGAAGAAACCTTCTTGCATTTTCCCCTCTCATACCTGTTCTTATCATCTTACCTGTGGAAGGTCAGTGGAATCATGTTCCCTCATGTGTTCTGAGCTTCATTTCTCCTGTCTTCTTTTTTATGTTGGAAGTTCAACATCTCCCTCCCACCAGGTTCTTTCCACCGTGTTTCAAGTTAGCATCAATGGTTTCCAGGTTTAAAATATTGTTCATAACAACACAACACTCCAGTCCCTGCTTTAAATCAGCTTCAACATCCACACCAGACAAAGGTCTGCACACACCTTTCAACACACATCCACACATCTTCTCTACCATTCTACCTCCTCTTGTAGAAGTCACCAGTGACCTCACAATACTGCTTCTAATGAACCAATCACCTCTCCTTTTATTCCTGCTTAGTAACTTTTGTTCAAGTTGAGCTTTCCTTGAAAGGCCCATTCTTTTGATGATCTGATGCCACATTCTGATGAATCTCCTTTGATGCTCTGTTCACTCCTTTGGCCTTCTTGGTTTGCCCGCTCTCTCTACCTGGTCCGATTTTTGCTTCCCTAAGACATATATAACTATTTCTATCTGATATTCTCTTCTAAAGAGAATTTATTTTAATCTCAGTGATTTTAAGCATCAACTATAGGCAATGGATCCCAAATATTTATCTCTAGTTATCACTTCTTTTGTAAGTCCTAGGTCCGCATGTCCAACTGTCGACTGTCTACATCTTCTGTTGGATCTCTCACTTGCATTTTAAATTTAAGATGTCTAGAATTAAAATCTCTCTTTCCTCCACACCCACGTCTTCCTCATTTCTAGTGTTTCCCAATCTATGTCACTGGCACCTTCTGCCATATGTATGTAGGTGCCGCTAACTGAGGCATTATCCTGGAGAGTTCCCACAGCTACAGGCCTCTGTCAAATACATAAACAGTTTCCCTCATTTGCTCTGAACACATATCTCAAAGTCACCATGTTCTCTTATTTCAAAGGATCTCCTTCATTTAAGGAACAATATCTCCATTGATCCCCAAGACAACTCCAGGAACTTACACTGTGTGTCTGCTCTTACTTCATCTGTTCCTAGACAGCACAAGTGCTCACACTGTGTGCCTGCTCTATTTACACTAGTTGACTGGAGTTCCCAAAGATGCAGGCTGACTGGCTGGGGTTACTTTTCTTGTTAAACCTCTCATGGGCTTTTTATCACCCTTACAATGAAATCCAAACTATCACCATGAGGGCCATCTATTCTAGACCTTTCTGATGCTCCTCCTCCCTTCTCTGCGAAGGAGAATCTGCCTTGGGACAGCATTATATGCCCCCACTTCCCTTGTAAACAGACGCGGCTTGTGTAGCAGATATGACCAAAGGTCTGAAAGTGGAAATGTTTTGAGGGAGTTCTAGAAAGTGCTTCAAGGAATTTGATTTGGGAATATCTTTGGCCCTTCCTTCTTCCTTCTTACATATCTGGAATGTCATGTTGAGTGATGGCTTTCTACTGTTCTGACCTCCATTCCTCTATGATTCAGGTGGGACCTGTAATAGGCTGGATGACAATATAGATGGAATGCAATGTAGAAGGATGAAAGAAATCCAAATCTTGTAGTTCACGAAGCTATACTGATGACCAGGGGATGAGCACCTCTGGGTTTCTGTTACATGAGAAAGAAATATACTTCTGTTTTCTTCATGCCACTGGTGTTATTCGGGTATCAGGTGCTGAACTTCATATTAGCTGAGACGTATGGCTCTTGCAGCTCCGTTCCTCCCTTTGACCCCATCTCCTGTCACCCACCCTGTGGCCACTCCAGGCATCCTACTGGTCTTCTATCAGTTTCTCGAGCTGTTTGCAACCTTGGGCCTTCTACTCATTTTTATCTGACTGGGTGCACTTTGGCATGTCTCTCACCTACTCTTGTCATCTTTTGGTTCTGAATTTAAATGGCAGTTGCTTGGAGGGGCCCACTAATATTCTCTCATGTGCACCCAGTTTCCTGTTTCTCTCACAAAACTCTGATTTCTTTTTTTTTTTCCCAATCCTGATTACAGCTGGAAATGATGTGTTGATTTGGAAGGTTTTATTTCTGTGTCTGTCTATCATTGAAAACCCATGTCTGCTCAGAACTTATCCCCAGCCCTTAGCTATAGTCTAAAAACATGCTCAAAAAGAAATGAGATGAATGTACTATAAATAAGTACACCATGGTTCAGGCAGTGGGACCAACAAACTGAAGAGTCCAAGTTTTAGTGTAGTGGCTTTGGCCAGTTTAGCCCTTTCTCCAGTCCTTATTTTGCAGGTATTCAAATGCGGTTGGTAACCTAACATTCCTGAGGGGATTGTGGTAAAGATTAAATAACCAAATAAAAGTAAAGAATTTTGCAGAGTGACCTTCACAAAGGAAATGCTCAGTAAACATTAGCCATTATTAATGAGTAAATGAAGAAATCAATGGAAAACTCAAGGTCATTTTTGGCATTATGTTATCTAGCCCAGGAAAGAGACCAATGCTTCAACAGTGGCCTTCACTGTCTGAGGTCACAGTGCCTTCAGCCAAAGGGAAGTGTTCACAAGAGGCCTATGGATATCCACCTTAGCTTTTTGGGGGGCAGTTCAAGTGCACTGCACCAGCATGTCCTCCCTGCCTCTGCTCTTCTGACTTCAGCTCCCAGAAATCCCATGAGGGTCAGCCCTGACATCCTGGGGCCGCATGACTTGTTCTCCTGAGGAACGGAGGCCTCTCCTAGGTTGGGATGTTTTCTGTGTCAACTACCATTCCCTGACTAATCGTACAATTTCTTTCTGAGGTGAGAATTTAGTCTTTATTATCAAAGGTGAAGAGAACTAACACACTACTAGGTAAAGACTGAGTGTAGAGGCTCACTGACTTTCTGTCTCTGGCCTCGTCCTTATCCAGTTCCATCAAATTCTTGGAAGTTCAGAGAAGCCTCTTCAGAGGCTGTTTTCTTTCTATGAGGGAAACTCCAAAGCCTGGAAAGGCTTCAGTAATTTCCCAGATGAGATGTCTTCCCGTTTATATTAAGACATTTCAATTCCTTCATGTAGTAAGAGTTGAGCAGGACACACACACACACACACACACACACACACACACACACGCACGCACGCACGCACGCACGCACGCGCGTGCACACACACATCCAGCAGTAACAACCCACTCTGGATTTGCTGTAATCCTGGCTTGAACATTCAAGAGAATACTTGAATAATACTTACCTACCTCACTGGGGTGTTGTTAACGATCAATTAGTTAATGTTTGTAAAGCACTTTGCAGATGTAGAGTGCTCGTTTAAGTGCTAAGTATTATTATTATCAAGAAGAAGTTCTATGGTTTGGCTGAAAATATTTTTTGCAATCATACATTTAACTATAAATAAATCAAGATTATTTTCAAGGGTATTTTGCTTTTAGGATCACTTCCTATTCATTATCAATTACCTAATCTTTCTTATTTTCCTTTGGTTACAAAAACCATCTCTTCATAAGAACTTTCATCTCTGAGATGATTTTAGGACTATCCTGGTGTGTGTGAGGGGTGGTTTTCTCAGGGACTGCATGTTTCCTCAGGGAGGGGACCAAGTGTGCTGTTATTCAACAGGAACTCCACTCCGTTTTTAGTAGCTAAACTGCCTCTGCAGAGTTCCTATCTAATTTAGGTCTAAATTGATTAAAAATAATAATAAAAGAAATAGCATCCAGAGCAGTTGCCTGTGAAACAAATCAGCTATGAGAATGAAGTATGGTGACACCCGTAGGGACGGAAGTTCGTGGCATTAAGGCCCTGGTCCTGTCTTTAATCTGTCTTTGTTGTCAGGAGAGTGTGACGAAGATAGGGTTATGAGGCCAAGGAAAGAGGCAGTGGCTTCCCAGTGTGCCACTGTCCAGTAGCAGAGCAGCCTTAATGAAGTAGGGAACCGTCCGTGTGCATAGCAACCCACAAGTGGCGGTCTTTCTTCTGGTGCCTTAGGCAATTCTGCGGGAGTCACAGTGGATCACTAATGAACTTAGCAGACTATAAATCAACAAGGAGGATGGCACTACGAAGGAGAGGTGGTGAAACTGCAGTGTCCACAGCGAAAGCTGGGCTGGTTTCTCACTGACGGGATATACTCTGTGGAATATTCCTATGCTCCTTGCTAGGCCTAGGCGTGGTTAGACAGTGGATGTTTGCTGCAGTAACACACACTGGCCAGACACTGGATTAGTATCAGACTAGGATTATATGTCTAATGTATATCCAGGATAGGAGGGAACAATCAAGCTGAATCACTGTCGTTGTAAGGAAATGAGAAGTCAAACTGTTGACCATGCACATTTTGTACTATTTAATTAAAAGTAGATAATGGTGCATGAATGAACCACAAATCAGATAAAAATGGCAGCATTTTCTCATATTTAACACATATTTGACTTGTGACTGTGTGACAATCCACCAGAACAGTTCTGTGATGTCTCCAAATAGAAAACCAGGAGTGTAATTAAAAATACTTCAGGGAAGAAGCAATATTAAATTCAACTTTGAAAAGAACTAATCTCAGACATAGTTCCCCACATTGTCATTGCTACTTAATGAGGACCTCCTTTTTTCTCTTTCTTTAAAATGAAAAGAGAAAATTATCAGAATTTTCCTAGCTCAAAATGTGTAACTTAAGCATACAATGTGTCTTTTATTGAAATAAAGGGGGGGTGGTTTACACATTTTAGAAATCGAGGTCCCATATTTACTCATTCATTTGTTTTAATTGAGACTCATACAGTATAGTCAGTAATTCGCTGGGACTATCTTTAGAGGCATTGGTTTCATCACTGCGCAGTCATGCCAATGTCCATCTAGCCCTTTTCACTGATAAAGGGTTATTGTTTATTCTAGGGTAGGGAATATTTGTATTGAATTCAAAGCTTCCTGCAGCCAGTCAAACATGTCTGTAGAGGCAGGACTGGGTATCTTAGAATGTAGACAAGAACCTCTTCTTTGAGTCTCCAGCAGGCTTTACTTGACCTTCAGACTCTAACTGAAGAGACCCAAGTATTTGTATATATTCTGTGATGGATTATTGAGAATTATTTGATATTTCTAGACTCTTGGGTTGTTTGTTTGTTTTGCGACAGACCCTGTGGATAGCCATCACGCACATATCCTTCATTCCTAGTTGGAATAAGTTGAGGGCTGAGGGCTGTTTAGATAAAAATCTTTCATTTCTCATCCTTTGCTGTTTGACTTTTACTTCAGACCCTGTTCTTAGATTGGGAACAAAGAACGTGTGATTTCAGTGGCAGAGAATAGAGCCTTAATTTGTAGCATACATAGAAATATATAAGTTGCTACTTCCAAGAGAACAAAAAGTACTTCCTATTGTTCCTGAGTAACCCTGGTGGGAAAAGTGGCCAAAGGGGCTGGGAACTGTCAGGTAAGTTACTTGGGCAGGCTGTTCGTCTGAGCTGGCATCCTAGCACTGCATGCATGGGGTTTAGAAGATTCTGGAAAAATGGTACGGTCACATCTGAAATTCAACATGAAGATGGGCACAGAAAGCAAGATGAGGAGCCTAGACCAGATAGAACTAGGTGGAGCCAAACTAGGGTTATGGCTCACAGTCACTCTTGGGCTAGAAGTGATCCCAAAGAAAATGTCCACAGCGTTTTCTTTAGGCTTAATCTGGTGTCTAGCACATAGCTGACTCAAAATCAATGTGGCATGAATAAGTGACTATTTGACCTTGTAAAGGGCTGAACTCTTCCCTGGAGAGTTGCAACTCCTGTGAGTAAAGTGTGAATGTTCCATATAGCTAATGTAGTTTAGGATATTTTTGATGGATTGATCTAATTTTCCATACATCTTTTTAATGGAATTAAAAAATTTTAAGAATTATGTGGATCTTGGTTTTTAAGACAGCAGCCCCTAAAATACAGCTTGAGCTTTTCCAGAAACCTAAATTAACCACCCTATCTCCCTGTCTGAGGTTATGCATGCTGATCCAGCTTCAAATCAACTGGTAGCTATTATTTACCCTCAAATTAAAAAGTAGGAAAACAGTCTCTCATCTTGCAAAGAGATATTCATGAAAAGTTTTGGTCTTCTCCTGCTGGCTTTGGTCTGGGTGACTCATATTTATAATGGTCATAAAATATCTCTTACTTGCTTTAAGCAGATTTATCACTAATATTGTACCAGTAGCTATAATTACTAAGGTTACTGCTTCAATAACTTTAAATGAGCTTGAAATACTATCATAAGAAAATAACCTGCCTTTGCATATACATAACTGTCAGAATATCTCGCGTATTGCCTAGAAATGTAGATCATGTTAGGAGAAATGTGCAATGCCATGAGTCAGGGAACTAACTTTCAGCTTAACCTATGTTAACCCATGAATAAGCATCACTCTTGAGATGAAATTAACCTTATTGATTTTAGCATATCTAGACCCACTTCCATCACTCCCTAATTAAAAGTTAAAAACAAAATAATAATGTATGTGGATACTCTGAGTGTGTGTGACTTGAAACCTTCCAGGAATCATTTTAAAGTAGTGCTTGCTAAATTTGAAAGCTCTTGGAAAGACAGGAATATGCAAGGAGAGTAACCCTAGCAGAGCTGTCTTGATGCTGCCAGGGATCCCTGTCATACTGACAAGGATGACCTAAACTGGTCACCACAATCTTCCTTTAGATGACTCCAGCTGAGTTTGCTACCCAGGTATGGATAAGAAGTAAATGTACACCAATCCTTCATTTGGAAGCTTTTGTCCTTTCTTCTGTGAACTAGGTAGATTTGTTTAAATTGTAATGAGCCAAGGGCTCACTGACACCAAGACTCCACTGAGAATCTGGGCTATGGCAGTATGGCAGGTGCTGGGTTAGATCTGGTGGATTTTTAAGGGGAGACTGGATCTTTCTCTCAAATGATTCAGGCATGCCTCTGGCTTCCTAGGAATGGTGTAGCAGCATGTAAATGACACAGGGGCATCTGCATCACAGGTGGGAAGAGTCGTCATACATCTGGAATGATTTTTTTTTTTAGGCAATTGAAAAGTGAGGTAAGGTCCCAACTCTCCAGTGATTGACAGAAGTTTTTCTTTTGATGTAGATGTTTTGATCTTGAATAGACATGATAATCAGGGCTGGGTTATTCCTTGAGTGTTTTTTGATTTGTTTAAATGTACAATCCTATAGGTTATGTGTCATTGTTTCCATTCCACATGTGGGGTACCTGAGGTTTAGAGTGGATAAGACACCCATGGATGCTATACTAAATTAGCACAAACTGGGTGTCTTAAAACAACTGAAATTGATTTTCTTTCACAGTTGTAGAGACAAATAGTCTAGATTCAAGATGTTGGCAGGGTTATGCACTCAGTGGAGATTAAGGAGAGAATTTGTTCCTTACCTCTTCTTGCTTCAGGTTACTCCAGGCAGTCCTTGTCTTGTGGCTGCATTACCTCAACCTCTGCCTCTGTGGTCACCTTACTTGCCCCTCCTCTGTCTCTCTCAATTCTCTTTGGTGTGACTATTTTATACGACAGCAGCAGAATGTGCTTATGGAACTCCTGGGATAATCTTCATCTCAAGATGGTTAACTTTATCACATTTGTGAATAACTTTTAAAAATAAAGCAATAGTCATGGATTTTAAGGTTTTGGCAAGATATTTTGTGGGGAGCTATTTGTCAGCCTAGCACAGGGATTTCATAAGCCTTTGTTCTAGCCGTACAATTGGTAGGCATAGAGTCTGAGCATTGCCAGGTGTGATTTGAACTTCTATTCTTCTACACTCCACAGTGACTCT